CACATATCACTGTCAGTGGACACGAGCTGGAGACAGTGAAACAGTTCAAGTATTTGGGGGCAATCATCACTGATGAAGGATCCAAGGCAGAAATTCCGGCAAAAACTGCACAAACAGCAGCAGCAGTGGCAAAGCTAAAGCCAATTTGGGAGGAATAAGAACATCTCCGTGGAATCCAGACTGAAACTGTTGCATGCATTGGTCATCTCCATTTTTCTGTATGTGTGCGAGACATGGACCCTTATGGCAGAACTTGAATGGAAAATACAGGTAGTAGAGATGAGATGCTTCCGTAAAATCCTGGGCATCTCCTACTTCGACAACGTTACTAATGAAGAGGTCCGCAACATCATCACCCAATGCTCTGGGTCATATGAAGACCTCCTGACGACCGTGAAGAAGTGCAAGCTGAAGTGGTACAGCCATGTAACAAGATCATCTGGCCTTCCAAGATCATCCTCCAAAGGACAGTACAGGGGAAGAGAAGAAGAGGTAGACAGAAGAAGAGATGGATTGACACATAAAAGAGTGGATGGGAATGGACTTTGCGGAGACTCAAGTGGTGGAGACAATTGGTTGATTGCTCATCAGTGATGGTGCCGCAATGACCAATGTGGCTATGGGAGTGATGATGATGATTATGATAACATCTAGGAGGGCTAGACATAGATCAGAACCCCTTTGTGCAAGGCGCTCTATAAACAAATAGGGAGTGTGACAGAGGTATGCTTGGTGAGATGGGAAGGGGCATGACCAGAGCACTGCTGTACTCCAGTGGTCCCCGTCAATGTAAGAGCCTCTTGGAGACTGTTTTAGCTGGTGTAAGTTAGAATAGTCATGATGATGCTGTAACACTGAGGGCTGAATGACCCTCAGCTGTGTAGGTGGTTGGGGGAGTACATAGGTGGCATACAACTGCTTTTGACACACAACTCTCCCTACCTGGACACAGTTCAGACAGGTCTATTATTTGAAGCCATCACATCCAAGATCAGCCAGGAAATTGATAGGTGTATGTACTACAGCAACCCAAGAGGCAGAAACCTTTGAACCTTCCTCACCCTCAAATAATTTGGGTGTTGAAATGGATTGTTCTTCAACCTAGGCCTCCCATATATCATGGGTCCATACCATCAAAATGGTTTACTTGGGATTCATTTTCCTCTAAAATTATAAAGAAATAAATATTTCTATCAATAAATACATAATTGTTGGAAGAGGATGAGCACATGCCATTGTGTCAGTGGACCAGGTCGCAGGTGATCAAGCCTAGTGGTCAGAGCGGAAGTCAGGCCTCGTAGTTGGAGTCCGAAAGTCAGAGCCACGGGTCGAGACAGGGTCAGAACCAGGAACCAAGGCTGAGGGTCAGAGCTGAAATCAGAGGCTGAATGCCAGAGTCGAAGTCAAGAGTCAGAGCTGAGGGTTGGGACCGGATTACAGGAATCAAGGAAGGCAAGAGCAGGGCTGGTTCTCAGGCAGGAGCAAGGCTGGGCCAGGACAGGAATAAGACTAGGTGCAGGGCAGGATCTGGGCTGGAGCCGGGGAGAAGCAAAGCAGGAGCAGGGATTACAGAGACATGAGCACAGGGAGTCCGTGGGTGTGTGCAGTGAGCAGCCAGCAAGCTACTGCTGCTTCTGGGCTTAAGAACTGACATGCTAGCTTCCTCAGCTAATCAGGCAGCTTGGTACATCAGGCAGCCTAGGTGGCTTGTTAGGGCATCAGGAGTACTGAGCAGGCACAGCTGCAGGGCCTTACTCCTGACACATTGTCCTAAGGAGAAGAGGTTTTAACAAAACACATATAGACAGAAATTTTGTGATCATGTTTGTCTGAAAAATATGGGGGTAATGAAAATAACTTACATTTATACACAATAGGGCCTTCATCTAGAAGGATCTTAGACTGGCTTACAGCACATCGCGCGTCAGAATCACTTTATCCATGACTGAAACGCAATCACCTCTGCAGTGAAACGTGTAACAGTGAACATTAGACACAGTATTGCTCAGGGCCAATATTTTCAAAATGGGTGTCTAAAATTAGGCGCCCAAGTCTATATTCAAGTATGTAAATAAATGGCTTGATTTTCACAAGTGCTGAAAAACCCATTCCCTCCCATTTAAGGTGATGGGGAAGGTTGAATGTTCAGCACTTTTTGAAATCAGGTCACTTGTTTAGGTACTTAAATACTGACTTAAGGTATACCTACAGTGCAATTAAAAACCCGCGTCTGGCCCATGCCAGCAAAGGGGCAGTTTAATTGCAGTGTGGACATCGAAGTTTGTGCTGGAGCCTGGGCTCTAGGACCCTGGAAGGTGGGCGGGTCCTAGAGCTTGGGCTGCAACTCAAGCCAAAACGTCTACATCACAGCCCCTTAATGTGAGCCCTGCGAGCCCGAGTCACCTGGCACAGGCTAGCCGCAGGTGTCTAATTGCAGTGTAGACATACCCTGAGGGGCTTAACTTTAGGCTCCCATTTTTGAAAATCTTGGCTGAGGAGTATAAAAATGAGCAATAGCAGCCTCAATTTGCAGCTTTTAGCACTACTTCCAAATGTTGTTGTTTACTTTTTCTAGTAGTTCTCAGTAGTTGCCCACTAGAATAAAACATCAGACAATATATTTTATATGCAGCTACTAATATGATTTTATTTTTTTAATGCCTCTCCTCTGTGGATTTGTCATGTCCCTTCATGAATTATGGATATATTCAAAATGTCGTGATTTAATTGAATAGGTGCTTCACACCATTTTCAAACAACCTCAGGTGCTAGGTGTAATGACATACCTATGTTCTAACCTTTAACTTTTAGATTTCTATTAATTCATCCATATTTTACTTATGCATGTATATTATATTTTAATTTGTATGTGATTTCCCTATATAGCTTGACGGGGGGATGTTTTCTGTATAAATGTTTTAACAAAAGGAAAGGAATATAAATATGCCACTGCATACCAACACCCTGGATGCAAAGTTTGGCTGGCATGTTTTATTCACTCTGCGTTTCAGATAGGAGACTAGGACAATACACTTTAAAGAACGGTTGATATTTTCATAGTTATCATTCAGACATGACTTCAAGTCATATTCATCAATATGGTAACAGCTTTCATCAGTTTCTAGTATACAGGCAGTAGTTCTGAAGTACCCTAAACTATGATATAAACTGCCTACTCATTATAACGTTTTTATTTCTCCCACCTTCGTTGTAAATGTGCTCCCTGAATTTCTTCTACTTTTGGTCCCATTTCACACACAGGTAAATGATAAAATAATGGAAAATAGAAATGGAGCAGACCTACTGTCTAGTCCATCACCTGGTCAGTGCGGGGATGTTCATCAATGGGAGTACATCAAAGCATACTGCGGAACTTTTAGTACATGGTTGCAGGGTTCACATGGCCAGTTAGTGCTCAGCAAGCTAGTGCACTGTAGATTCACGCCCTGGCTTGCTGCACACTAAATCGCTACGTAGACAAGCCCTTAGTTATTAATCACTCTACACATATGTTGTTCTTTTAATCTTTTCTCGTAAATCAGTCCCTTCAACCCCATTAGGTAAGTCTATGCGGCAATTAGAAACCCGCAGCTGACCCGTGTCAGCCAACTCAGGCTCGCTGGGCTCAGGCTGCAGGGCTGTTTCATTGCTGTGTAGTTTTCTGGACTCTGGCTAGTGCCTGGGCTCTAGGACCCTGTGAGGTGGGAGGGTCCCAGAGCTTGGGCTCCAGCCCGAGCCCAGAAGTCTATACAACAATGAAACAGCCCTGCAAGCCCAAGTCAGCTGGCACGGGCCAGCTGCAGGTTTTTCTTTGCTGTGTACATATAGTCACTTTTGTTGCTGTTTTTTAACTCTGTCCATGGCTTCCTGGTACTGAGGAGCTGAATACTGTATTCCAGATCTTGCAGTGAAGGATTATTACCTCCATGCTCCATGACTTGATGTCTCCATGAATACAGCCCCAAAGTCATATAGAATACAGTGGGTGAATGCATAGCCACGGCTTTTCTATGTGAAATAGTTGCTAAAGGTGGTTTACTTGTTATATAAATGAATTCAAAATGGTGGCTGTGCGTGGCTTGGCAAGAAATTGTGATTACCATGATGCAAAGAGCTATGGATATGGAAGTGGCCCAGTGATAGCCATTTGATAGTGATAAGTAACATATTTCTACCTAATATAGAGAAACTTATTTAAGAACAGTTTATCCTTATTTATACCAGAATCAGGAAGGATTTGAGATTTCTGACACTGAAAAGTTGACTGAGGTTGTTTGGAGTTGGGCTAGCCTGTGCAAACTATATTTCAGAAAAGCACGTTAATTTCATGAATTTATTTTAGTCAGTTGTATTTTTACTCCCTTTGGACCATATTCTGATATCCTTACCCATGTTGAGTAATTACTTCACAAGTGATCCCATTGAAGACAATGGGGCAACTCATGCTGTCCAAAATGAGTTAAGGGCATCAGAATCTATCCCTCTGTTTCATTCTACTCACTTATTTCAATATTTAATGAGAAAACAGCTGAATCTTCTATTGCACACTCAATAATTCATGGTGATTAATTCAATTTCTTGTAAATCACACATCCAACTTTATCATACAACCCATAGAAAAATTATGCTTAAATGTGGCACAGATTTTATTTTTAAAGAGTTAATTTTGGGATGTATTCTATTTTTTTTTTAATCTGAGTTTTTCACTCTTGTTTTCTTTTGGAATTTTTAAATATCTTCTGTACGCTTGAAAAGAAGCTTTTAAAAATTATATGTTGTTTTTAGTTTATAGGTTCCTTCAAGAGATTTTCCAGCTCAGTGTTACATCTCTGCATTTCCAGTCTTCTTATTTTGTTATATAATAAAGATCAGAATTAGTTTATATTGATATATGTGTAATATTTTTAAATACATTAATATAATTTAAGTGTGGTATTCTTGCAGTTCAAACTCAAAGCTTATACTGTGAGTCAATAAAATGTATATTTTTGTTTTCCCAGTTTACACAAATCTCTATCCCAAGAAGTGAGTCTTAAGGATCAGTTTAACTGTACTCTTAGTACATATGAAGATGCACTGAAAAGCAGTGAGGATATTGTAACCATCACACATCGCCAAAATGAGCAGCTAGCTACCCAACTGCAGCAAGCCCAAACAGAGCGAACAAACATGGAATTAAAGCTTCAGCAAGCTTTAGAAGCGTCACAAGAGGCCAACGAAAAAGTTCAAACGTAAGTCAGTTGTCTTTACATTTGGAAGAATGTCATTTGACAGCCAAATGAGACATTATTCCCCCTGATGTTTACAGTGTGGTTGTCACAAAAGTGGCTGTTTAAAAGTGGCTTCGTCTTACTCACAGATTGGCTTCTTGTTGTATAGTCAAGAGTCACTTCTGCTGCTTTAGTGACAAAACACTACTACTGCCTTAGCGCTGTATAACCAACCCGCCTCTGGGAGAATGACCTCACTGCACATTAAGGGGTGGGGGTTGTTGTTTGGCTTGTTGGAAAATGTGTGTGCCCCTTTAAGGGCTAGAGAGCCAGGGAGTGACTTTCTGCGGCAGCTGCAGGCCAAGTCAGCATGGGGGCACTGACCCAACCACCCCCATGTGACCAGAAGAGAGGGGGACTATATAAGTCCATGCCAATGCAGAAAAAGCCCTCTTTTACCTGGACCTGACAGAGCAGCACCCACCCTCCCACCCATGGAAGTGGTGAAATACTGGGTTTTGTTGAGATTCTCTATAGGCACTGTGCTAGTTCTCCTTTCTCGGGGGGCTGGGAATGAATTTTTCCCTCACCGCCAGATTGGGGGTTTTTGCCTTCCCCCACAGCGGGTTCGGGGGGGGGGGAGTGGCTTATTTGGGAGCAAACATGAAATGGGAGCTAGACTATGATGTTGCAAATCATTATGTAAATGTGGGACGGATGTCCAGTGCAGGTACTACATAGGGAAGGGATATAGTGATCAGATAAAATGGATTGGTAAAGGATTTAAAGTGCTATTCTTTAAGGGAGCAGAAACTGGGGGGATTCGGAGCTCCTATTACTGGTACAGCAGAGAGCCAGCCCCCTTTTTAATAGCCCCCCCTTAATCTGCATTTGAATGGGGGGGATGGTGATGTCCCAGCAGCGGGTTGGCTGGGGACCAGAATGGGTAAGAGGGAAGGCTGACAGAAGCTCCCTGGGTATATATTGAAATGATTATGGAATTACCTGTACTGTACACTTCTATCTGCCAGGTACTCCCAGACATTTAAGAATAAAGTTGCGGCCTAATTGAACCACATCCAGTGTCTTCTGTCCTTCTACCAGCATAGCCAGACAACGAGCTAGAGTCAGAGTTCATGTAGTCAGAGCCATCCCTTGGGTAGGGCGAATTGGGGTGACCGCCCCGGACCCTGCGCTTTGGTGGGCCCCGCGCTTCAATAAAATCAGGACTGTCCTGATATTTAGCCCTTTGTCCCATGTCCCAACCGATGTACGATCGGGACGCCATTTGTCCCAATATTCAAGTGAAGAGGCGGATGGGGAGGTGAGGCAGGAGGCAGGCAGGTGAGTGGCGTGAGGAGGCGAACAGGGAGCTGAGCGGCAGGCGGGAGTGGAGTGAGAAGGCAGGCAGCCAGGGAGTAGAGCAGCGGGCAGGCGAGTGAGGAGGCAAGCGGCGCCGGGCGGACAGCAAGGAGACTATTGGGGAGGCTGATTTGTGCTGGGCCCCACACCCCCGTAGAGATGGCCCTGCATGTAGTATTTTTATGGTGCTGTGGCGCAAACTAGAAAGGTGAACACAACTTGGCTTTCAGCTCGCAGAGTGAGTGTACAGAGTTATCCAGGGCAACATCACTTCTAAATTTAGCAGATGTATATGAAAGTCAATAAGAGACAATGAACATGGAAACTCACAAAGCCAATTTTACATAGTCACTTTTCAAAATATGACAGTGTTTTAAAAGAAACTGGGATGTTGAGCTGAATGGGATTTGCCTGCTCCAATTGGCCCAGATCCAGCAGCCATTGGTCAGGCCCATAGTTTTTTATGCTCTCTAGATTCTAAGCAACTTGTCTTTGAGTTTTGTAAAACTACTCTTCAGTTTGGGACAGATCATTTTGGATAAGTGACTGAGCAAAATTAAATCCTCTCATGCCAGAACTCTGACATCCATGGCTACAAGTGTTAAAGGTTTCTAGATGCTGATTATTTCAACAGCATTGTAAGGAAATAGTAGGATTCATGATGTGCTTTCCCTTAATGTCATATGGACACTGCTATTATACATACCCAAGAGTCTTTAAAGTATTTTCTGTTAGGCTGGAATGGTTTTCAGTGTTATTGGAACACATGGAATCCCTGCTGCAGTATTATATTTGCCTTCATAGCTACATGAGACAACGTGGGTGAGGTAATATCTTTTATGGGACCAACTTCTGTTGGTGAGAGAGACAAGCTTTTGAGCTTCCACAGAGCTCTTCACCAACAGAAGTTGGTCCCATAAAAGATATTACCTCATCCTCCTTGTCTCTCTAATATCCTGGGACCAACGTGGCTACAACAACACTGCCTACAACAATTTATAGTTACATGTGAGAATATTTGCAATGTACATATATATCAGTTTTTGTCTGGTTCATACCTGATACGTTTCAGGCCAGGTGTTCGAGTCTGATCCAAATCCCACTGAAATGAATGGGAAGACTCTTGTTGACTTCAGTGGGCATTGGATTGGACCCTATGTTCAGGTAAATGACAGTGCTCCGTAACGTAAGACTTCTTGTTAGAAGGCTCCTAAACTCTGAGCCTGGAGTTCAGCTGTGTTAAAGTCCATTATAAGTTTCCTTTTAACAATGTACTAGTTAGTACACATACAGTTCTTTGCTCCATGTAGCAGGTTTTTAGAGAGGAAACACAGCATAATCGATCAAACAATTTTATATAGTGAAAGTTGAATATGAAATATATCTTAGTGACAGTCAGTGTACAAGTATCAGGCGGTAGCCGTGTTAGTCTGTATCTACAAAAACAAGGAGTCTGGTGGCACCTTAAAGCTCTCCATGTGTCAGTATATAATGCCTGCATCTGTAACTTTCACTCTATGCATCCGAAGAAGTGAGGTTTTTACCTACGAAAGCTTATGCCCAAATAAATCTGTTAGTCTTTAAGGTGCCACCAGACTCCTTGTTGTTTTAGTCAGTGTACAACACTCTAGATCAGTGTTTCCCAAACTTGGGACGCCGCTTGTATAGGGAAAGCCCCAGGCAGCCCAGGCCGGTTTGTTTACCTGCCACGTCCACAGGTTCGGCCGATCGTGGCTCCCATTGGCTGCGGTTCGCGGCTCCCACTGGCTGTGGTTCACTGCTCCAGGCCAATGGGAGCTGCTGGAAGCGGTGGCCAGTACATCCCTCGGCCCGCGCCACTTCCAGCATCTCCCATTGGCCTGGAGCAGCGAACTGCGGCCAGTGGGAGCCGCGATCAGCCGAACCTGCGGACGCGGCAGGTAAACAAACTGGCCCGGCCCGCCTGGGGCTTTCCCTACACAAGCGACGTCCTAAGTTTGGGAAACATTGATCTAGATGAAAACCTGGCTCCACTGAAGTCAATGGCAAGCCTCCCTTTGGCTTCAATGGGGCCAGGATTTCACCCATGAGATCTTACAGTCATAATGACAGTTATCTGGATAATTACGAGCAATAGTTGAATATTGGTTAATAACTAGATGATAAAACAAAGATATGACTTTGTAGTCTGCTTTAAAGTAATTTACATAGAATTATTATAGCCACTGCAAGTCAAACTCAACTTGTGAATTTAAATTAGACTATTTGTATATACTCCTAATATTTGCTTTAGTATATGTTTCACAAGTTGCAAGATTATATACTACCTAGCCTGTTGCCATAAATGCTCCTCTAACAGACTCTTTCAACCTTGTGAGAAATAAATCACACAGACAGAAATAATACAGTTTACTGTTAAGAGGAATGTGTGCATGTTAATTCTAAATTTCTGACTTTATAGTCTCCAATGTGAAGACTCCAAATTTAGTCTTGCTGTCATTGAAATCAAAGGGGATTAAACTGTTGTTCTCTGAAGGTATTGTTATTTCTCAGTGAAGTACACTCACCCACGTCTTCTGAAGAAAGATGTGATCTATTTTGTTCCGTCTTGTTACTTTCTTGATCAATATTAATGTCCTGAGGTCAAAACATAGGTCTAGTGTTATATATTGTATATACAGACAAAATCCTAAGAGTTGTCTTTTTATTTATTATACCTGTAAGTTCTTTGTCCATAATTCTCATTGCTGGATCAGGGCAAACGTGCAGCCCATACCCCTTCATTTCTTGGCCCTACTTGCACCTCTATGACACCTGGGGGCTCCAAAATAAAATGAACTCCCTACACGTTTTTAGGTGGTGGTGCCTGAATCAGGGCAACATTTCCCCGTTTGTTCCACATCTGCCAACAAGTTTCCTAGTGTGTGTAATATACTCACATAGCAACCAGAAATTAGTCCATAATTCATTTCAGGCACCCAATACGTTTTTTTCCCTGTTGGGTTAATCTTTTATATATACATGCATAATTAAAATAAACTTACGAAAAATAGATATGGTGCATATGCAGGAGTTGCTTTTTAATATCATTTTTGACAAATTAATATAAACTATTTATATTATTTGTTCAGTGCCAACACTGTGCTCAGTGCTGTATAGAACTTGGAGCACTCATAGTCCATGTCCTGACATCTATTAAATCTTCCTTTGCACTAGTATAATTTTAAAGCTGTCATGTTATTGTTTTTCATTTTAGTTAAAAAAAAAAAAAAACACTTGCTATTTGTAAGTTAGGAATTTATAGGCCAATATTTGTCCCAGATAATATTTTTCAGTCATGTTTTAATCCCCTGAAACCAGACTGGTTATTATAGAAGTGCAGACACAACTTGAACTATAGTGGTGCAATGCACTGCCATAATGAAAAGAATTCATTCAATTTAACATGCATAACTACTTGGGAAAATTTCTGTCAGGTTAGTTTCATTATTGCTAAAATCAGTCCTCTAGCAAAATTAAACAGTTGGTTGAAGTCTTTTGATGACAATAGCATGCCCTTTTTATCAAGAAACTGTGGAAATGCTCAGTGCATCTTCCCAGCACCCAGTCATCCACCCCCATCCTATAATTCAACCTGCAAACAGATTAAGCAGCTGAGTTTGTGGAAAGTGTGTTTACTC